GTTATGTTGACACCTGGCCTTGGATGAAAATGGAAATAACTGTATTATGATAGGAAATTCAAATTATGGATTCCTATTTGAAATCCAAATATTGATCTAGGGGATGTGTAGATTTGCCCCAACAAACTTTATTGAGGTAAAGTGTGTTGTGAACTAACATTTTGGGCGTGGGGCCTAGCAGTCGATGAAGCTTAAATGAAGACCATGAGAGGCTAGGGTCCGAATCCCAGCAAAAGAAAAAAGTTACGTAATTTCTTCTAATATGCCTATGACTTGGTGGGCAGAGTTACCCAATACTTGTCCTTGTCTGGTGGAGGGATGCATGTACTCAATGAAATGGTCGAGGTATGCGCAAGCTGGTCGGAAACCACTGTTAATTTTTTTTTTTCAAAAAAGAATTTTGAGCCTGTATGTATTATATATTTCAGGAGTAATTGTTGAACCAGTTGTATTTTTCAGGAGAAGTCTCTTATATTGCTAATGCAACTCATCCTATTTTAGTTCTTGACAACTTGTTCACATTTAAGCCCATGATTTCTAAATGCTTATTGGCTGATCATTTGGCTTTATCAAATTTCATGCAGCAAAAGCGAATATGTAAGATGCTTGCATTTTTCTCGGGAAGATTCTCTTTATGTTGCCACAAACAATGGATATGTGTACCATGCTAAACTATATGATACTGAGGATGTGAAATGGACTGAGCTTCTCCATATTGAGGAGGAAGGACCAATTGTTTGCATGGATTTGTTGTCACACTGTTCTGATGTTACTGAAGACATTGAAAATTGGGTTGCTGTTGGCAATGGTAAAGGCACTATGGTGATTGCCAGAGTTGTTGATAATGTCTTGAATCCTCGAGTTGAACTCATGTCTACATGGTCAGCTGAACCAGAGAGGCAACTACTTGGGACTTATTGGTGCAAATCTTTGGGACCCAAGTAAGTTATGATGATGCCAGAAGTCATAATGATTCGATGAATATGCTTGACATATTTATATAGAAGATTGATGAAAGTCTTTCTAAGTCTATCCTGACGACATCCTGTTGACTTTTGGCCGATATGATCTTTCCTTTCAGTACCATTAGTATGCCGT